TTCGTGCATGAATTTTGCTTAGCTTCTGCCCATTCTTTACTTGGTGTCGTGCAACACACTGAATGGAGAGCTTGTATAAGTTGTTTTTAATTTCTATACAGCTTGTATTATTTGTGACCTTATCACTAAAGTAACTGTCAGCATGCTGCCTACTGCCAGTATAGCATGCCTCGCTGCTCTTCCAATACTCCGGAGTTTGCAGTCATGCTGATCAGTCTCGTAATTAATTTTGGGAGATAATTTGTAGCAAAAACTCTCGAATATCGGTAACTACTCAGGAGGAGAACTCCTAATCTCTTTTTTTTTTTTTTTTTCTTATACGTGAAAGATGATGATTAAATCATATCAATATTTTATATTAATTTTTATAAAAACAAAAAAATAAAAAGTTAATATGTGAGAAGAGAGATTAAAAGAGAACGAAAATAAAAAGGAAGAGAATATACTCCGACTATTAAGCATAGCCTAATCTTGCAACCTAAAAATTGACACGTAGTCATTCCACTTTGGTATTGATTGACACATCATTTTCCCGTTGTTTTATTCTTTAATTCAAACACCAAAATGAATTAACAAGTCCAATGATCTAGTTGTGTTCCTATCATTAGGGGATAAAGTGGAACTTTACACTCTTTAAATAATGCAAATAGGGCTACCCTTAAGCATCATATATGCAGTTTAGGAAAATTAAGGTGAGAGGAGAATTAAGGTGAGGATAGATGGATTGGTTGATAAGCAATTCAAAGAATTGTTTTCCTTATTTATTTGTTCTATTTAAAAGAAAATTATTAGTTAGTAGTGACTTGAGCATGATATGACTGTCATGACGCATATGAGCGTCATCGTGACAGCAAAAGAATGAGGAGCAAAAGGAAATGGCTCCGGAGAGACATCAAAACTGATTTCTTTTATAGCGTCCAAATTATTTCATTCAACAAAACAGAAACAGTTTAAGAGTAGCACAAAATGTTGAAATGAGACTAGCAGTAATGCAAAAGGATGATTAATGTAAACCCTTAATCCTACTTAATACATACAATCGGCAATGACTAATTGCGTGCTCTCGACGTTTATCTCGAAAGTACTCAATTCAATATATAATGTCTGAGTAGATACCCAACATGGTCACACACAGCTACAAACATACTCAACATATATATTTCTAATAAAATTAATAAAACATATCTTTAGTTACTGTAATGTTGTTTAAACTCTCATAATTGACACACTCTCTAATTAGAGTAATGTGCAAACAAGCGTGTAAATTTTATACGTCCAAGTAGACGCAAAGTTGTTGATATTCTCCCCAATGTAGGTATAAATATAACAATGGTGCCAGTTTTGGGTGTTTAAACCAAATTAATAATAATGTATATATGATAAACATAGAAATAGAATAGGCATATAAAAATATTCCCCCAATATGATGCATGCAATTTGTAAGTGAGGAAAAAAAGAAGAATTGGGTACTCCACCACTACACTACATCTCATCACAGTTTTCGGCCAACTTATTATCACATTAGTTACGTGAAATGTTTGTATGCCTCATGTCAGATGGCAATTTAAAACAAATTAACAAGAATTTATGGAGAAGAAGCAAACGTACAATTGTAGGGTTTATTGTGGTGGGAAAAAAAGAAGTACTGAAAGATGCCATCCATTTTCTTGTTGCTTTGCAATATACACGGTGCATGCCTAGCCCTAAAGTCTAGTTAAATTCGGGCCGAAGGAAAAAAGCTTCAGAGAAACAACAAAACAAATGGAAAGGTGCTGAGTGATTGAAAATATGTGTCGTGCATATATGATGCCTAACGTGACACGGCAGTGCAGCTTAGCATGCTTTCTACAAAATAAACTACGTACAACCGAACTCACGAGAAAAATTTGATCCCATTTTGTGCACTTTAGTTTGTTTTATCTGTTTACCTTTTGTGCTAGGAAAAGAAAACTCAATCTTGCAACTAAACCGATCGATGGAATATATGAGCGATTAATTACCTCAGTTGATAATTATTTGGTTTTTGGTTTTTGGTTTTTAGTTCATATTTGTGTTAGATGTAGGAGAGATAGGAGTTTTAACGAAACACTCTCAGTACTGTTCACTTTTTAACGAAAAACTATATTTTTACCTTTTGCTGGTACAATTCACTACACCTTTATTTGTCATTTTTATTAAAACTAAAGTTTTTTTTTATTTTTCGTTAGTTTTCCTAAGACAGAATGGTGAAGAATGAAGGACAATGGTAGATGCAATTCAATTTTATTATTTTATTACAAAATTAAAACCATAACAAAAAAATATATATTTAAAAAAAATATTTTTATTTTTTGCACGACGAATACCTTCGTCTTACATAATTTTTTGCAAACTAATTCGTTTTCATTGCGCAAGAATAACATGTCATCGCACAAAGTTCTTAGAGATGAAGATTAGTCATCCCATGTATGTATCCTGACGACAGCTACTCGTATCCTAGCATTTTGTACGACGAAGATTTTCGTTCATAAAAATTTGGTGTGACGAAGGCAAAACCGTTGCACATTCTTCTCCACGACCAATGTGTTTATTCGTCACACAAAGTCTTTCTTCACGATCTTTACACGACGAATTTTGCGTGACTGAAGTTTTCGTCGCTTTGACGTTTGTGCAATAAGCTTTGTGCGGACCAATTTGTGTTCGTCATTTTAAATGTTAAACGTAGTAGTGAATTAATTACCTAATTACACCACAATAACAATATTCTTTGTAATCACAACTCTACAAGTAATTGCACAATAGCAGCATAACGGTAAAACCTCCTAACCACCCTTAATTAGCATTAGTTCCTTTTGTATGGGAGGACTCTTCTCTAACAATGATTTTCACTAACACTCATCAATAGAGTTTTGGATCTCAGAATTGACTTAGCCAAGTTAAACACTAACTTTGACTATTTAAAAGAGATCGATGACGTGAGAGGGAAATTCGGCTTCAAAACTTGTTCATCACTTAACACTAATGACCTAACAAATGTTCAATTTTTAAAACGTTGGATAGTTATTTGAAATGTATTAAAAAATTAGGAACAATTTAGAATTACTCCAAAAAACTGAGTAGTTATTTGTACTTAATCTAATAATTAATTGTACAAATATGGAACAAATGCTTTGGTTCTTTTAAAGAACCTCGATTGTTCGAGGGGGAACAAACGCTTTGGTTAAAGAAGGTATAAGTACCAATCCAAAAACAAAATTGAATCAGGAATTTAGCATATGAGGGTGAGGCGCTTAATATAGAAACACTAAACGAATAAGGAACATCATGGCCAACAACACTCGTGGATTAAAAAAAAAAAAAAAACGTTTAACCGTATCAGGTACTCATACCTGAGAATTATTTTGATTTTTTATTTTATTAACATAGAGACGTCATAAGTTCTTAGCAAGGCATGTTAGGTATATATTCTTGTCTCATCATACACTACATGATGAGAATAATTTTTTTTTTTTTTTAACAAACGATATTATTTACACTAAGAAAGAGAGGGTGTGCTTAGCCTCACAATAGGTCAACAAAAATGTGGTTAAAGTTCGTTTTTGACGAGAATCGAACCTAAGACCTCTCACTTACAAGTGAAAATGAATACCACTAGACTGCTGTACCAAGTGACTTGATGAGAATAAACTTAGAGCGAAGAATAAAATGGAAATTATTAATTATGGCCTTAATGAATGAGTTATCGACTGAAAGAGAGGATTAACCATGAGATTAGGGACTTAATGTAGGAGGACCAAGTTAGCTGGGGCAAGGTTAAGAGATTAGGGCTAAGCCATGTTTTCCAGAATAAACCCAGATGGGGATATATATGGGTTTGTTAGTGTACCATCAATTCCTTATTACAACCCAAACTTCAATTAAACTTGGCTAGGGCTGCATGATTTGGCAAAGAAGAGCAGTGTTTCTAGGTCTACACCTTCGGATAAAGTTTGCACACAATATTTGGCCCTACTTTAATAGCTGTCCTACTTTGCTTGTGTGTATTTGGAAATGTTTTTAAAATAACTAAAAACGTTTTAAATGAAAGTGTTTTTGCAACCAAATCTTAATAAAAAAATGCAAATGAGTCCTCAAAAAGCACTTAAAGGGAGTGCTTTCTTCCAAAATGTACTTCAAGTGCTTTTGAAACCTTAATACTTTCATCAAAAATATTTTAGTCATTTTAAAAGCACTCCTAACCGAACTCTTAGTAAAAAACTAGGGAGGGCGTCAATCCGGTTAAACTGGTTGACCTAAACTGTAATAGTCAGTATAGTATAGTATGTCTACACCTTCGGATAAAGTTTGCACACAATATTTGGCCCTACTTTAATAGTTGTCCTACTTTGCTTGTGTGTATTTGAAAATGTTTTTAAAATAACTAAAAACGTTTTAAATGAAAGTGTTTTTGCAACCAAATCTTAGTAAAAAAATGCAAATAAGTCCTCAAAAAGCACTTGAAGGGAGTGCTTTCTGCCAAAATGCACTTCAATTAAACTTGGCTAGGGCTGCATGATTTGGCAAAGAAGAGCAGTGTTTCCAGGTCTACACCTTCGGATAAAGTTTGCACACAATATTTGGCCCTACTTTACTAGTTGTCCTACTTTGCTTGTGTGTATTTGAAAATGTTTTTAAAATAACTAAAAACGTTTTAAATGAAAGTGTTTTTGCAACCAAATCTTAGTAAAAAATGCAAATGAGTCCTCAAAAAGCACTTGAAGGAAGTGCTTTCTTCCAAAATGCATTTCAAGTGCTTTTGAAACCTTAATAATTTCATCAAAAACATTTTAATCATTTTAAAAGCACTTCTAATCGAACTCTTGGTAAAAAAACTAGGGAGGGCATCAATCCGGTTAAACTGGTTGACCTAAACTGTAACAGTCAGTATAGTATGGTCTTACAAAATTAAAGTCGGACACTAAAATTGAAGCGAACCATAAAGAATTGGTTTGGTTATGGTTTTCAGTTCTTGTAAACCGACATAAACTCAATCTCGGACCGTCCACTTGTATATTAGTATTTATATTATTTTATTTTACACAAGTAGCATTTTCACAAGCAAAAAAGCCTGCGAGTTTACAACTGTGGTTACACGTAATTGTTTTCCTTTGCCCAGACATTGGAAAATCCAATTTTGAAGCCATTTTCTCACACTAAATAGCAAAAAAATTAAATTAAATTAAATTAAAAATTAGATAAATGAGTGCATTTAAACTAAAAGGAGTTGACAAAGGCATAATTGGAGAAAGAAAAGGTCTTTATATCAATAAAAATCCAAAGATGCTTCATAATTGGATTTGACAGAGGCATTCTCGGCAGGTTAAAAAACAGAGGTATTCCCAAACAGAAGATACAATATACAGTAAAAGGAAAATAACAACTAAGGAGGAAAAATAAAAACCAAAAAATAAAAAAATTGTAAACCTCAGTAGCAACATGGAATGCATACGAATCAAGCATTTCTTTTTTTTTTTTTCAGGGTTTGAGGGCTTGAGTTTGTTTTCTAATTTGAAGCAAAGAATACTTGAATGAAATGCCAAATAAAAACCCCAAATTCCTACCTGATCACAAATCGGTGAGAGCGCTTTTGGAAAAAAGGGGTCAGAAAGGATTTGGAGGTGGAATTTGCAAAGCCAAGACGATGTTGCAGTCCGGGTGTCGGCCGACGATCAAAATTTCTTCTTGGGTTTTCCAATGGACGGCGAAGACGGGTTTGTAGTGCGGTGGCGGTGGGGATTTGTCGATTTGTCTACAAAAGCTTCTACCTCAAGCGTATGAAAATTACCCAAACCCATACACCCTTCCACAATCTTAGCAATCGATATAAATTTGAAAATAAAAATGGGGGAAATTAATAGATAATCAAATTTACTTGAGGAGATGAAGAGGGCAATTTTCGCTTACCTTCAATCGACAGGAATCTGTAAAACGTGGTGATGTATGAAATGGTGGTAGCGGCTGTGTGGTAAAAAATTGATTCGGACTGAAGCAAGAACTAACCGGTGGAGGAGGAAAGCTTAACTGCAGCAAAAAGGTATGGATGTGTCTGTTTCGGACTAAAGCAAGAACTAACCGGTGGAGGATAAACGAAACGACGAGAAAAGAAGAGGTGTGTGTGGAAGCATCCAGACTTGGGAACAGTAAAGCGTGTGGACGAAAGGAAAAGCACCCTAACGTGTGGATGAAGAGGCAGGGGTATTAACGGAATTTTATTGTGCTGTCAAATTAAGTGGACAATAAGGGCTGCTGCAAAAGGGGGCATTTACGTCTTTACACTGTGTTTAGGAACAGTGCTTAGGAACTGTGCTAATAGCTAGGTAAGGATGTTTAATTTTGAAAGTTAAAGTTAATGATCTTGTAGAATTTTCAAGAGAGACGGGTCGATAGATCACTTTCAACATTGATATTATCCATAATTTGGTAATTACCACCTGCACAATTCGTCAAGTGTGGGGTTTTATCACAAAAAGTTTCGGTATTAGTTAGAATGGAGGTTTAGAAAGTGACTCTTTTATAATCGAAAAAAATTTAATTAAACTTTGATTTGTTTTATTAATTCTTTCTTGATTTGCTTCATTACTGTTAATGTTTTTATTAATAATTTTTTTTTGTTGATTCAAGAAAAAGTTGTCTCTGGGATACGATCGATGTAGGATGTTTCAACGGGCCACCTCACGTGGGACCCAATTAGTCACAGGTGAGAGATCCGTACACCAAGAACTATGTAGAGCCAAGGGGACTCACCCTACACGGGGGCCAAGAGACCCACCATGATCGTGCAGGGCCAAGGGGACCCACCCATCATGTGGCAGTACGAGTCTGCTCTTTGGCTCTGTTATCAAGTAGAACTATTAGAGAAATGGGCAAAATACCCACTTCCAACAACACTGATATTGTCCCCAAAAATTGAGTTTGCCTAACGAATAAAGTAGATTAGGTTCCCAAATCTTGTAGAATAAGAATGGTTTATTTCAGCAAAGTTGACGAACTTCGCACACTGACTCTGAAATAGGATGATCGTGGCGTCACTAATCAGTTTAGTCAACTCCGCTATGGAGGCTGTTAAGTCCATGATCAGACTTCTGAGGTAGGCGTACTTTAATCTGTCTTACTCGAGCCTTGAAAAATCATGGTCCCATAGTGAGTTTTCTTTTAATGTTTCTTCTACAATCTCCCACTATCCTTCTTCTTCACTATTCTTTTTTTTTTCTTTTTTCCATCATTTCTCTCCTACATCAAACACAAAAATAAACACAAAAAAATCAAAAGCCAAATAATTATCAAATGAGTTAATTTATCGCTCATATATTCCATCGATTGGTTTAGTTCTCGGATTGAATTTTCTTTTCCTAGCCTAAAAGGTAGACAGATAAAACAAACTAAAGTGCCCAAAATCATCGATTGAAATTTAACGTGAATTCGGTTGTACGTAGTTTCTAGTTTGTAGAAAGCATGCTAAGCTTCAATGTTGTGTCACGTTAGGCATCATATATATGCAACCTTTTTATTTTGTTTTTTGGTTTCTCCGAAGCTTTTTCCTTCGGCCGGAATGCCACTAGAATTTAGGGCTAGGCGTGCACCATGGATCTTGCAAAGCAACAAGAAAATGGATGGCATCTTTTAGACTTCCCCTTTCCCACCACAAGAAAACCTAAAATTGCATCTCTGCTTCTTTTTCTGCATAAATTCTTGTTAATTTGGTTTAAACAGCCATCTGACACAGTGCATACAAAGATGTCACGCAACTGATGGGATAACAAGTTGGCCAAAAAAATGTGATAAACATTGTGTAGTGGTGGAGTACCCAATTTTTCTGTTTTCCTCACCAACAAACTGCATGCATCATATGTGCCCTTTCTATTCTATGCTTATCATATATCCATTATTATTAATTTGGTTTAAACTCCCAAAGCTGGCGCCATTGTTAACATTATGTGGGATACCTATCTATATTGGGGAGAGAATTGTGTCTAAATAAAATAATAATTATACCAAATTTTATTTGGACACATAAAATTAACGCACTTGCTTAGACATTCTTTAATGGAGGTGGACTGTTATTATTGTATATAAAAATCACATGTGTTAAGAGCGTGTTTAAGCAACATTACCCTAATTAGAGATTTTTATTTAATAATTTTATACGAAATATATATGTTGAGTATGTTTGTAGCTGTGTGTGATTAAGATTGGATTGTCCGAAATATATTTGTTGAGTATGTTGGTAGATCTGTGTAAGATGTATATTTGACTACGTACGTTGGGTATCTACTCAGATATTTTCTAAGGATTTGAGTACTTTTGAGATAAGGGCAACGCCAAACTAAATTTATAGATTTCATTTTTTAATCTAAGTGACATGGAGATTTACGATTAAATTATTACTTAAGTATTGATTAACGTGCTTATTTTTTATGGTAATGCTAATGACACTAAATTAGTAGACAAAATTTTGAAAAACTAAATAACATGGAAGTTGATGATTGGTTTATTACTTAAGCATTGATAGACGTGTTCATTTCTATTTGTGACACATAATTTAATTTGTAAATTTTTTCTCTAAATTTAGTCTCCTTAACATTACACTAATAAAAAAAGGGTAATGCTAGTGAGACAAAATTTGTAGACAAAATTTTGGAAACAAAAGGATATGGAAGTTGATGATTAATTTATTACTTAAGCATTGCAGACGTACAATCCCGTCGGGCCCCCCAATCTCGAGCTATCGGCATATTGCCGCTTGGACAGTCTGGGAACTGAAATTCCCAAGTGGGTCCCCATCATGGGATTGCTCTCGTGCAAACTCACTTAACTTCGGAGTTCCAATGGAACCCGAAGCCAGTGAGCTCCCAAAAGACCTCGTGCTAGGTAGGGATGAGAATATACATATAAGGATCACTCCCCTAGACGATGTGGGATGTCACAATCCACCCCCTTTAGGGGCCCGACATCCTCGTCGACACACCACGGCCAAGGTTAGGCTCCCACCACATCCCGGCCCCGACTCCACCGTAACACGATATTGTTCGCTTTGGGCCCTGACCACGCCCTCACGGTTTTGTTTCTGGGAATTCACACGAGAACTTCCCGGTGAGTCACCCATCCAAGGATTGCTCTCTCGCAAACTCGTTTAACTTCGAAGTTCCAATGGAACCCGAAGCCAGTGAGCTTCCAAAAGACCTCGTGCTAGGTAGGGATGAAAATATACATATAAGGATCACTCCCCTGGGCGATGTGGGATATCACACGTGCTCATTTCTATTAGTGACACATCATTTAGCTTGTAAATTTTATCTCCTTAACGTTACCCTTTTTTATTAATAAAATTATTAGTTTGCAATTTAGTAAGAGTTGACAGCATTTTACCTAATCATCCTTTTGAAATGCTAGTCTCATTTTAATAATTTCTACTACTATTAAACTATTTGATTAGGATTTGTATTTACTTCCTATTAGGATTCTTATTGTAACCTAAGTCCTATGCACTATAAATAGGACCTTAGGGTTAGTGTATTTTGTGTGGCTCTTTAGTGTGGTAATTTGGTGAAAGTCAATTTGTGGGATTTGGGTTGTGAGAGTTTAAACACTCTTTTGTAATCTTTGTTTGTTTAGTGAAATTCCTTGACATTGATATTGGTACTCTGTCAAAATTCGCTTCCATTTGCGCATAAAAGTACAACAAGTGGTATCAGAGCTCAGGTTTTGGTTTGGGCTTTGCTTGGTAGTCACTATGAAGCCTTCTGTGTTTTCGGTGAAAGTTGATATTGAAAAGTTCGACAGCAATGACTTTGGTATTTGGCAATTGAAGATGCGTGCTTTGTTAGTTCAACAAGGGCTTTTAAAACACTAAACGGTGTGAAGGCTTTGCCGAATTCATGGACTGATGAAGAAAAAGAAGATGTTATGGAGTGGGCACTTGGAGCAATCATGTTGACTTTATCGAATGAAGTCTTGCGTGAAGTTGGTAGCATCAAATCTGCACCGGAATTGTGGCTAAAATTGGAGAGCTTGTATATGACAAAATCCCTTGCTAAACAGTTGTATTTGAAGAAAAGTTTGCATACTCTTCGTATGGATGAAGGTAAGTCAATCCATAAGCATGTTGATGAATTCAATAAACTTATGATGGATTTGAAAAGTGTGGATGACCAAATTAGTGATGAGGATTATGCGATAACTTTGTTGTGTTCTTTGTCTCCTTCGTATGAACACTTTGTCAATACCATGCTAGCTATTTGGTAGACAAAGTCTTAGTTTGGAAGATGTTAAAGTCCCTTTGAATTCTAAAGAGCCAAAGAATAAAGTGTCTGACACACAAGATGGAGCTTTGGTAGTTCAAGGAAGAAATAAGGAAATGAGCAAACTTGGAAAAAACACTTGTAGTTATTGTTATAAGGAAGGTCATTGGAAAGTAGATTGCCCTAAAGTCAAGGGCAAAAAGAAGTCGTTTGATAAGTCTTTTGCTTGTGTTGATGTAAACATTGCATAAGATAGTTGTTCTAAACTCCTCTAAAGGTTATGTGAGGAGGTGGAGCTTGGTACTCAAGCTCTTTGGGTGGAGTGCAATTCGTATTTTTTGTTCGTATGTTCAAGCTTTTGCTTGGATTTTGTTTCATATTTGTTAGTTTTCGTAATGGAATTTGTTGGAGAAGGCGTTGGAGGACATTTTAAGTTTGAAGACTTTTGGTTTTTTGATTCTAGGTGGAGATCATTTTCGAAAGAATTTGGTGCACATTTGCGTTTGTATTTTGGTATCCCAAATTTGAAGTTTGTATTTGATTTGGAAGTTTGCTATTTTCTCGTCGAGGTGGAGATTGTTGGGTTTTATGGCTCAAAATTAGGATAATGCAAAAAATTAGGTTTGTGTTACCTATTTGGTTTTGGTGTCTTATTTGGGTTTGGATTTGGACTTCTTAGTTGGTTTCCTTGGTGGAAAGATTTTGTTAATTACCTATTTGATTAGGATTTGCATTTACTTCCTATTAGGATTTTTACTGTAACCTAAGTCCTATGCACTATAAATAGGACCTTAGGGTTATTGTATTTTGTGTGGCTCTTTAGTGTGACAATTTGGTAAGAGTCAATTTGTGGGATTTGGGTTGTGAGAGTTTAAACACTCTTTTGTAATCTCCTTTTGTTTAGTGAAATTCCTTGATGTTGATATTGATACTTTGTTAGAATTCATTTCCGTTTGCACATAAAAGTACAACAAGCCCGTTAAATAATGGACAAATTTTGAATATAATATAATATAAGGTGTGATATTTGTAAAAAATTGTAGGAAAGTCTGAAAAATATATCAGAAATTGCTTCAGACTCGTTGCAGGTGCTCATCGTTTTGATGCCAAGAAACTCAGAAAAAAAGTTGTATCCAACGAATCACAAGGTGCCACGTGGCACATATCATACATATATATATATATATAATTTGAAAAATTCATAGGAAAAAATCGAAAAAATATTCCGAAAGTTTCCATAAACTCCTTGAACCTTTTTCATCGAGAAATTAGCAAAAAAAACCTCGATTACGATTGAAATCAAATAGGAAAAATTTCACAAATGTTACATTGAGTGCTTGGTGTTTGTTCCGTGAAACAGTTGTACAAGTTTCATAATTTGTTGCATAATTGTACTCCTTGGCCCATACCCTACAGGCCCACTTGGAAACATAAACTAAGCCCAATATGCATCCAAACCCTATAGGACCAAAACGATAATTACATCCAACCCTAAGTGGAGCTGTACATGACGAACCCAAGTAGATGTTTGTGGTGTGATCCATGTAAAAGTAGACTTCTGCTTCTCACGTGAGGGATAAGAAAACTTACTTCTTCATGATGTGCTTATAAACCATTACATAGTGAACTCATGCCCTAATCTTCTTATTAGCCTGCCCAATAATTTCTTTTTTACTCATTTCCTAAATATTGTGGAGCTATGCTTTGTCCTTTATAAAACAAATAACACCAACAAATGACATAAACATACATTTGATTCAGATATACATTCTAATTTTAACTGAACAAGACTTTTCAACTCAGACTAAACGATAAGATATTATAATACGACTTCCTTGAAGTTAAAGTCTAGGATAGAAGTATGTAGAAACGAAATCATTAGATAGGATGGTTAAGATCAATCCATCACCCATCAATATGTTTGAAGATTGAGGGCATGTTAATGAGACTTTATGCATCCAAAGACATTTGCCTCTCTACATCCCATGATAATGATCTCATGCATTCAATCACATAAAAAAAAAAAAAAAATCCAAATTTTCACAAAATAACCCAAAAAAGTATTTTACTATTGCTAAGAAATTATTTATATGAAAAAAAATAGTAATCAAAATTCCAAAAATTGAGAAGGCAAGGACATGCATGTCATTTCAGAAAATCTCATCTCACCTTCTCTTCCCACAATCACCTTTTATCCTTTTCAACACATCCTCAAAAAATTAAATTTTCTCAAATTCTTTTTCACATTTTCCCCCAAATCCCTTATTTAATCTTAACCTCACCTGCTTAAAACACTGCACCTCCTCACCAACCAATCAAATCACACCACTCTCACTATCCTTGTGCTCCTTAGGTCGCACAACCCAACCAAGCTCTCTCAACCGTCCATCTGTCACCTTACCAGGGATCTTATCACAAATAGAGAAGCCCAAAATTGAGAGAGGACTTAGAAACAAGAGAAAAAAGAAGGTGTGTTTTTTTTTTTTTGTCTCGGAAGCCAAAAGAAGGATTTGTCATATTTAATCTCTTCCAAAAATTAATTTTAAATCCCAATTTTCTCCTTCTAGAGAGAGAGAGAGAAGAGAGAGCGAGAGAGGGAGCTTGTGTACTGGGGACATAGAAAGAGAGAGGCTTTTTGTTGTTATTGTGTTGAAATGGTTGAATTGGAAAATACCCAGAAAGCATTGTGATTGTTTATTTCGTTTTTCGGATGTGGATTTTGCACTACTGTCTGTGATCTTGTAAACCGGGAAAGCGATCTTCGATACGCTGATTGGATTGCTGGAAATTTTGGGGTTTGGGTAATTTGGGCCGTTGTTGATTCGATTCTGCTTGTGTTTGAGAAATGAACGTTGGCGATGAGGTCGTCGCTGCAGCTCCAGGGGGTCCTCCACCGCCTCTGGAGTGGAAATTCTCTCAGGTCTTCGGCGAGCGTACAGCCGGTGAAGAAGTTCAGGAAGGTATTTTGTTCGAAACTTTCACGACTCTTTTGGATCCAATCGATATTTTTGTTCAAGTGTTGCATTCATGGCTAGTTTTTGAGTTTTTGATCTGTTACGGATCATGGTCGTTGAGTAATTAGTGTTTCGGGATCTGGGTCGTTGAGTCATTAGTGTTTGATTGTGGGTTTTTGCTCTGATTTGGGGAAAAGAGTGAACTTTGAGTCTGAAACTGGTGGAGAGATGTGCATGTGAGTTTAGGTTGCATTTTTTATGTTATGGATTGATGAACAAACAGTGTGGAACTGAGCTTAGTCAAGTGAGTGGTGGTTTCGCTTTGCGATTTTAGTTATTTTTTCACTTGTTTGGTCGTGTAAATGGTTCTTTTAAGTTGTTAACATGCCGATTTTTGCGATATAGTTTTGCATTATTGTTGTTGTCCATTCATTGTTTTGATTGTGGACTGTTCTGTGCCTGCTGGATGCTGTAGGACTTAAATCAAACGCCAGTGGTTAGCTGTCTTTCCTATATCGGTTAAATAGTTGTATATGTCTGTCATGAATCTATATGTTATTAAGGAGAAAAATGTAACCACGTTATAGTAATTTGTGTATTTATTGAATGTGCTCTAGATTTTTGTGTAGTTACTTACACATTGGTTACTTATGTGGTAAGAAAGTTACTCAGGTTGAGCTGCCACTAATTGGCTGGATTAGGTATTGGAAGAATTTGATTAGTGATGCAGTTGGAAATGAACGATTTGGGAGTATTTTCATATCCAACAGTAATACTCATCGATCATAAGAAGAATTTGACATAGGCATTGGTTTATTGGCATGTTATACTAGTATGCCATGTCCCTACTCTAATTGTTGCAGTCAATACATGAACCCTCACCATTTATTTTGCTAAAAATGTGCCAATCAAATTCTGGATTGTTATATGTTAAAACCATTATTGTTGGAGAACACTGGAAAAACTTAATATGTTTACTAACTATGAACAAGAGTTTGAAGAAGTGCTTGTAAATGAGTATAGTGTTGTGATCAAAATGGATGATTGGATCCAAACTATGACCCTATAATACTTTATTTTTAAACGGCTGAATAGATGCATTATGAATGTTGTAGCTGTAGTGGGATGAAAAGAAAATTGGCAAACAGACCCTAAGGGTTTGGTTTTAATTGAGCTGAAGGATCAATGAAAAAAGAGTTATATGGGAAGACTAATACGGTTGAGATGGTTAACAATAATGAATTGTACGTAGGCAATACAAGACAGATGGTAAGGGTAAGAATCGATTCATATAGCAGAGCCTAACTAGTTGAGGTTCATGGCTGGCACACAACATTGATGTGGTAGGAATGGATTCTTGTGTCTATTTAGAAGGAGAATTGGCCTGTAAAGGTTTATAAGTGAGAGGAACTATGATAAGTGTAATTCTAGTGTTTGGCTTGTTCCCAGTTACATTACATATTAATCTTTATTGTTTCTTTTTTTTAATAGCAGGAGGACGACAATAAGATTTCTTACTTATCGTTTTTTTTATTTGTTTGCAGTTGACATTATTTCTGCTATTGAATTTGATAAAAGTGGCGACCATCTTGCTACTGGTGACCGTGGGGGCCGGGTGGTTCTCTTTGAGAGAACAGATTTGAAAGATGTGTGTTTCTTAACTTGCAAGCCTTTTCTGTTATTTCAATGTTTATATGCCATACTTTTTTTTTTTCTGCAATTTGAACTTGTATTTGAATGCTGTAATGTGTAGCATGGTGGCTCCAGAAGGGATTTGGAGAGGATGGATTATCCAACTAGTAGGCATCCTGAGTTCCGTTACAAAACAGAGTTTCAGAGCCATGAACCTGAGGTATTCTTTTCTTTTCGGTTAGAAATGCATCACCACACCATCATATTTAATTTACCTTTGGTCGATGTACTGAAATTGGTTGTATTTACACTGAGCATATCCTTTTTGTCAGTTCGACTATCTGAAGAGTTTGGAAATAGAGGAGAAAATAAACAAAATCAGATGGTGCCAAACAGCCAATGGTGCCTTGTTTCTTCTATCTACTAATGATAAAACAATTAAGTTTTGGAAGGTATGAAAGCAACACTCTTGTAGCAGTTTAATTATTATTATTATTATTATTATTATTATTATTTTTATAATTGTGGGTGACAGCATGAGAGAAACGGTGCCCAATTTGTCATTTGAACTACCTAGCCCTGTGTGTCTGCTTACACGTTTATGGTATAATATGTCATAATCTGAACGAGAATACGTGCAGCTCTTTTACTTGGGGTCTGTTTTGAGGACCTTGAACATTTGGACTGCCAGCTTATAGCTCTATGTATTGTACATGCAATTGTCTGGACTTTGAATAGATGCATGGTGCTAGGTAGCTTATGTACTATAGGTGTAGGTTTCTTACTCTTTGACTTGCTGAGAAAATTGAAACACTCGATTACTGAACAGTCTGTGCATGTAAGAGGAGGTCATATTCACCTTAGCTGTAGAGATAGTCACTTTGCAATGTAATGCTTTCAAAAGTGTATATAATTTGTTGATGTACTTCATATAACTGTGATCTGGTACATGTATATTAGATTTTTCGGAGCTTGAAAATAAATTATGACAAATAACACATTTTATCCAAATATCTTCTCTACATTATTATTATTGTGCGCATCATACATGCGTTGATTTCTTTTGCTGTATTTGGTTGGGTGTTGAACAGGTCCAAGAAAAGAAGGTGAAGAAAATTTCAGAAATGAATGTGGATCCTTCAAAAGCTGTAGGAAATGGCAGTCTTGCTAGTTCAAGTAATTTGAGTAGCCCTAAAACGTTTCTTGCAAACGGAGGATGCCCAGACAGATCATTCAGTTGTCTGAGCAATGATATTTCATTTCCACCAGGAGGCATTCCCTTGTTACGATTGCCTCAGGTGGTAGTACTCAACCCAATCATTTTCTTCTTGTCTCTTATGTTAGCAATTTAGCACATTGTGTTAAGCTGTTTCATTTAATCATTTAGTGTTATGTCTGTATATAATAATACATACGCTATACGCTTTTATGTGCATGTATGTATTAGTCAGTGTTGATTTTATTAAATGAGGTCAGAAGACTCAAATTGTTCACATTAAGCTTATTATCCTTGTTCTCAGCTAGTTGGGATGTTTAAAACCTTCTACTCGTGACACTTCAATGCACACTGTGGCTTTTTTTACACCTTTCTCCCCTTCTTTGGGTTCTTTAACATTTGGTTGTTTTCTGAGTTTCATCTCGAACTAACTTTTAAAACTTGATTGTGTAGGTAACTAGCCATGAGACTAGCCTAGTCGCTAGATGTCGAAGAGTGTATGCCCATGCTCATGATTATCATATCAATTCAATTTCAAACAACAGGTGGCTCTATTTCTTTAATGAAATTGTATCTTCAGTTTACGTCTGTGACATCCATTAGTAGTACATATAGCTTTCTATTTGACTTTGGGGTTTATCAGGGCCTTACGACTCTTATGAAACGTTTTAATCCTTATGCTTGTTTTAAACTTGCTAAAATTTATAGCCAGTTCGTATTTTTAGTTCACCATGCACAACATTATCCAATTCCTGCAGCTGGAATTCTTGTTTGTAATTGTCAATAGTTTTTCATTGAACTGTAAAAATTGATTAGAACCATAATCATTGGCTTTTCGCATATCATAATTAAGATACTTTGTTTGCCTGACTTTTGGAATCCTGCGATGAATGTTTGCCAACTCTCTCTTACATTTTTCCTAGTGATGGTGAAACTTTTATTTCGGCTGATGATCTGCGAATAAATCTTTGGAACTTGGAAATTAGCAATCAAAGTTTCAATATTGTTGATGTGAAGCCTGCAAACATGGAAGATTTAACCGGTAAGCTTCATTATATATTCATATTCCCAGTCGTAGTCAAATATTCTTCTTCTGCTTTACATTTTAAGTTGTTAAAAGTTTCAGTGGAACACATTTAAAAAGTACTTTTCTGGTGCTTGGAGTTGGGTTGAAGTTCATAATATTCAAAATGTGTGTCCACCTGTGCATCTTTGTGCATCTAGCTGAGGGATTTTTGAAGATTCAAATTTTCAGTTAGCCAGGAATAATTGCAATTTGGACTCTGTATAAATATAAAGGACGGTTTTAATTTCTTCTGGTGTTACTGTTGTGGCCCTGATTATTGGCTAGATGTTCAAAAATACTCGCATGACTCTGAGTGCCCATTTTGTATTATTGCAGAGGTGATAACATCAGCAGAGTTCCACCCTACCCATTGTAATACGTTAGCCTACAGCAGTTCCAAGGCTCCATTCGACTCATTGATTTGCGCCAATCCGCCTTGTGTGATTCTCATGCTAAATTGTAAGCATTTTCCTTTCTATTTTATTGTTGTCATCTTGTATTCCGCCCACCATAGGGGGACACAAGACTAAAGGTGTTAAGTGCAAACTGGAGAGATGAATAATATGTTTTGATCACCTATTTCTTGCAGTTTATTATTAAAAAAGAGTGGGAAATTCTATTCTCTTCAGTACTGAGTTTGTTGTTAGGGATGGCAATTTTAACCGTTAAATCCTCTAACTATGAATAACAGTTCGAATGGATTGGATTTGGGTATGAAAATGTGGGTATATTTTGGGTATGGGGAAAAACTGTAAATATTATTCGTTTATGGTTTTGGATATGGTTATAAGGTCTCCAATCCATATCCGTACTGGTACCCAAACTGAATAATATATAATATAATATTAAAATATTATATAATATGTGTGTGTGTGTAAAATACGTGTGTGTGTATATATATATGTATGTATGTATGTATATTTATTATTGACTGAATCTCACTTTGAGAATACAAAAATTGCATTGTGTGAGTTGCATTTTGTGGCAAAGTTCAAAAGTTTTGATATGAATCAAAATCTATGAGAATTCAATACTTATGGGAGATATCAAAGATCAACCAACGTTATCAATGTTTAGCTTTAATTTTTATGCTCCACAAGATCCATTAATTAAATCATTTTATACATCAAATATTTACTGACAAAATTAATATTTACTAAATTATCATGCGTCAATTGGGTGAATATATTTTTTGTATTGACAAAGATGGATATAACCGTTAACCGATGGGGAATTTGTTATCCGGTGGGTATGGTTATGGATAATACCCGATGGTTAATTTTCGTGGTTATGGGGATAGATATAGCATTTCTGTTCCCAAACCGATCCATTGCCAATCCTATTTGTTGTCAATACGTTGGTTAAAGTAGCATCACTTATGATACATAATTTTTTGTTGTTTCTCTTTGTAAAATACATTATTTCTTACTAAAATTATCTTGTGTGCAGATTTGAGGAACCGGAGGCGCCTGGTGCTAGATCATTTTTCACAGAGATTATTGCTTCAATATCGGATATTAAGTTCGGAAAGGAAGGAAGATATATACTTAGCCGAGATTACATGACTCTTAAGGTTTGTTATTTTTTGGTTGGTTTTTCACTTGGCTCATCTCATCATAAAAACTCTGTAATGCTATTATGTTTGGATATTAAACGTCCTGAATGCAACATAGTGTGGCAAAATGATGTATTTTATATAGACATTAGGTGCTGTAAAGCTACATATGGTCTTAGCCTTCCATTTCCTTGACAAGTGTATGGAACTCTCTTGATTTATGAGACTATGATTGAATTATTTCCCTGTAGATGCTATTGGATGTTGAAATCTTGGCCATGACGGTCTGGAAGATTTTGTTATTTGTTTTCCTACCTTCTTTCGTAAAAACAAATGATGATTTTAAAGGGAAATTAAACGTCCAAAGCATGTCTTAAACTGGGGTTCCTTAATTATTTGAGGAGAGTAGCGCTTTTAGATAGTTTCAATAACTACTTCAGCATTATATCTGATGATGAAGTTGCATAGAGATTTCTGTCAAATTGTAGCTGCTTAAACTAAAAAGTCTCGCTCTCCCATATTGTGATGTGAGGTTGAGATCTTTATCTCCCTGCTTTCTTATCTGAACTGGTTCACATGTTTTTCAGTTATGGGACATCAATATGGATTCAGGTCCAGTCCAAACCTTCCAGGTTCATGAATATTTAAGACCTAAGGTGAGATTCTTGTCATTAGACGAAAGGTGAACATGTAATTTGTGCCTAGTTTAATGGGCTTAAGCCTGATTATCTTGTTTAAATGTATCCAGCTGTGTGATTTATATGAGAACGATTCTATCTTCGATAAATTTGAGTGTTGTCTGAGTGGTGATGGATTGCGGGTGGCAACTGGCTCTTACAGGTCTGTTTTGGTGCCTTGTATCTGTTTCCTGTCATTTTTATAAAAATTATTTGGGCTTGTGTTAATATGTTATTAATGTGATCTCAGCAATCTATTCCGTGTATTTGGTTCTGCCACTGGTAGTACTGAGGCAACAACCTTGGAAGCCAGCAAAAATCCAATGAGGTATGTTTAACTCGAAACACATCAGGAAGCATGACTGGGAGTTTATTTTATGGATAAGGTTGATGATTATATAATGTATTTTCTGCTGTTTTAGGCGACAAGTTCAGACTCCTTCTAGGCCTTCCAGGTCCCTGAGCAGTAGTATAACACGAGTTGTCAGGCGTGGTAAGTGCTTTCTCTTTACCATTTTACCATGGACTTAATGTGCTCAACATTCTTTGGCTTGTTGGCCCTTCTGTTTTTGGTATATTTACTTGAAAGAATATTATTTGTCTACCTTGACAAAATCTACCACAGGAGCAGAAAGCCCTGGGGTTGATGCAAATGGAAATTGTTATGATTTCACAACAAAGTTGCTGCACTTGGCATGGCATCCGAACGAGAACTCAATAGCCTGTGCTGCCGCTAACAGCTTGTACATGTACTATGCATAAACACGGTCCAAGAAGAAACGTACTTTCTTGGCTAGCTTTTTTGGGTTGCTGCTGGAGAAGGTTTCCATCGCTTTCCCACCAACCAGTCAATTGGAGGCCACATTAATTCTGACACTTCAAGGTGCTTCTTGAACCTGTTGCATATGGTTTCATTCTCAAGGTCCGGAAGTGGCTGTCACAGAATTCACAAGGAAGAACCAACTTGATTTTGTTCCTCCGGTGAGCAGCATCTCCGTTTGTTCCCCCTCCCAACCCCGTTTTCCTTTTTTTTTTTTCCATTTCTTATCTTTTTCTCCTGCATTTTCTTTAAAAGAGAAGATGTGTGGGGGGTTGTGTCTGGAAATTTGTGTTGGGTTGAAGTGGGAAGAAAATGAGATTGTAGCAGCTCACCTACAACAAATCTAAAAAGGATGTTCAATATTTGCCATTAGGTTTTAATTCTTACTGAAACAATCATGGTGGGATTAGAGGTGTTGAAACTTGTAGTTCATTTTTTTATTGATTCTTTGTCATGCTTGAAATTTCATTAAGAATGTTTATTGTTTTTGTTGTAGCTTTCCAACTTTCTGTAAACTAAAGCAAAGCAAATAATTGCTGTAGCCTTCTCTTTGGAAATGCATGAGCCTCGTTCCCCTTTTTTAAATTTTTTTTTTTTTATTAAATTTATTTCCGTTGTACGTTATTCAGCTCTAAACCTTTGCTCCGTTGGATTCCGCTGGAAGTGATTTCTTCGTATTCACGTCGTGCTTGAAGTGAAATTTAACTAGCTTCCCTTCCATTAGAGACAAGGCCTCAAACTCTTCAGTTTTGCGTCGTTCTATTTGTTTTTCTTGAATGACAAGCCTCCTGTGTACGGCAAGTGGTATCGAAGCTAAGTAGAGTGCGTGTAACCGAGGGGGAAGAGTGTCACTGACTTTGATCGTTTCACATCGAATAAAAATAACTTGTAATAACCTCATAAACGTTTCTTTCTATTTCTCTTGTTACGTGACTAATCATGCCGTGCTTAGAGGTTAGTTTCTGAGTTGGGTGCATAACTCAACCCACTTGTCAAGTTATAATTAATAATTAAAGAAAAGGGAAAAGGATGGGATAAGTTCACCACTCCCTTTTTTATTTTTTTTTGTCGAAATCCACTCTCCTCCTATTGACTGAGTAAAAAGTTTACATTTTAATTCCAAAGAAAATAGAAAAAGTTTCTTTTCTTTTTGCCACGTGTTCCTTTGCCCAGAGAGTAAAATATCCAATTACACTACAGTATAAATTTCGGAATAGTAGCCAAGTGATCAGCTTCTTCTCTGGCGTTTAGGGCTTCTGTTTCACTCCAAATCCCAAAGACATTTCAAGGTGTTTTAACAGTTTTCTCTCTCAATATATGCACGTTAATTTTCCTATTAGTAATTCTAATTTGAATTAACTTAAATTTTCTACGTTGGATGTTCAATGCGGACTCTGTTGTTTTCTTGTTGTGTAAAAATCTAGGTTCAATTCCTGTGCTTTAACAATATTTATATTTATATAATTAAACATACTCTTTTTTTTTATTTTTTTATTTAATTAATTTAGCTGAGCTGTGACTGCTGAACTGGGTTTTTACTCACTGTTGATATGGTGTTATTGACTAATTTTATTATATTAGATATGTTGAGATCACTAATGCTGATGATCATTCAACCATGTATCGTTTCGCTTAAAATCTTAACAAAGTAATCGTAATGATCGATCCTTCAATTTGATTTGAAACTTGGAGCACAATATTGAGTACTTGTAGAAGTTTGTCTGATTGATGCAGAAGCTGTCCAGATTTGATTGTCCTAGTTCAAGTATTTTTGTTTGGTGTGGGTGGGAGATCATGATCAAAGGATTTGGATATTTTTGGACTGCAATATTGATCAAAGTTTCTCCTTTTTGTCTTGCATCGTCACGATGTTGTTGAGTACATTTTTCTGTTGTTTGAATTAATGCGCCGTTTTTAGTTTCAGGTTCGTATCCATGGCATCAAAGTTTCCACCAAAGCTGGTTCAGGCGTCGAACTTTTTAGTCAAGAATGGAGGAACGTATTACAAGCAGATGGTAGAGCAGAACAAGCACCATGTCCAGGAGCCCCCCACCATTGAGAAATGCCAAACATTAGCAAAACAACTGTTTTATACTCGTCTTGCCAGGTTCTGCCCTTGTTCCTTTTTTATCTTTCTAAGTCAGTGCAAATTTCTTGTTCCAACAAGTCAGCTGTTGGTAGTACTAGTACCATCTTCCTTGTGATCTTGGATAGGATTCAGGAACGCGCGCTGAATTCAATCTTGCACTAATTTTTCTAAAATTGTCAGATTATGATTTTGAGTCGCTACTTTTCACGACTACAAGGTTGTACAATTATGTGTTTTCTTTTGGTACGAAATGTGGCTAACTAAGAAACATTTGGCTAAAACAGGCCTCCTCAAATTGATAAACGATAACTGCAGGACAATGACTGTGTGTGTTAGAAGATGTTGCATCATATCTTCTTCGCTGAAAATCCAACATCAATATATATCTTGCTAATAATCAGTTGAGTTTATCTTCTGTTCAATAGACCAGAGATTTTGTTGCATTTTCCATCATCCTAGTTACTGAATCACATTGAACTTGTTGGCACATAGATGCTAGAAAATGCACGAACGCTTGATTTGTTTAAACAATTGCGTAACTTTCTCCTCCTAATTTTCTCTGCAGTATTCCAGTTCGTTATGAAGCATTCTGGAAGGAAGTTGGCTATCTTAAGAACGCAATAAAAAGCAAGGAGGAGATGAATGTGGAGAATGCTGGCCTTGCTGCTCTCTTTGGAGTTGAATGCTTTGCCTGGTTCTGCGGCGGTGAGATCATAGGAAGGGGCTTTACATTTACCGGCTACTATGTTTGAGAGGGTGGCGCCACCTTAGGAGTAATCTTTCAGCTTAGTTTCTGGTAATTTTTACATGCAAGTGACCTTGAATGGCGATTTTGATTTTGCATGAAAAATTTTGTTTTCTGAAATCTTTTACGTTTGAGCTGGAAAGCCAGCAAAATACGGCTTACAAAATAATTCAATGTGATTTTGTTCTGCTTATGAGTTGAATCTGTTCACACAGATGGAATCAGATCTATCTTCTGATATCTGGTTGTCGATTTTCCTTGAAATTAATTATTCAAGTGTACAAATCAGTTTATATTTGGTTTAATTTCCAATTGCAATCTGTCATTGACTAAGTTGGATGAACTCAACTCAAGGAATCGAATCGAGAAGATGCATACTAAACTTGAAAATATATTAATATTTGGAGATGAATAAGAACCTCCAGTTTTATATGATCTGGCTCTTAATAAAATCAAATGCAATGTGGGGTGGGGCGGTGTTCTATGGAGAATCCAAACCAAAACATGTTTTATTGGAGAAAAGAACGGCATTGTCTTACTTTTTAGAAAATACGGTATCACCAATTCTATATCATTATACATTTGCGTAGCGAATTTAGGAATTATCGATAGGAGGGATGAAATTTAAAAGGGAAAAAAATTTCAAAAAAATGTAGACAACTAATACGTTTAGATAGTAGACAATATTAATGTTGTTCATAATTCATCAATACAAAGATATCTTCATTCTTAATCTTGTTCTTTCTCGTGTGCCCACACATCCAACGAAGACTTGGATAGAGACTCTAAGAAAAGAAATAGAGTACTTGGAGCTAACAGAAGATTTGGCACAAAACTGAGCGCAGTGACGTTTTGCAACTCATAGCAAATGATCCCACTTACTAGGCTTTGTTGTTGTTATCGTTGTTGTAGTTGTTGTAAACAAGTTAGAATTGTTACCAGGCGAGGTAATGTCTATTGCCCATCTTATGATCCTATAGTTTAATAGACTAATTGCTACCAGGAAAGCAGATATAATCTCCTTTTTTTTTTTTTTTTTTTTTGTGTGTGTGAATTTGGCGACTTTAGTTTCTGTCATGACTCCAGGATATGATCGATCGTCTTTATAACAATTCCTCTATTACCAACTTTATACCTAATTGCTATGCAGGCTATCACTATTTATCACCATTCATTCCGTACATGTATTGTTTCTGCTGCACTCATGGATTGTGAGGAATTAGGAGAAAAAGCTAATAATCATTTGGCCTGTGGTTAATCTTTACAGGAGCAAAAAACGGCTTCTAGAACAATTTAATGCAGAATAGGAGGCCTTCTACACAGAAGCCATTGGGGCAGTGCAGCAGTGCTAACACCATGGTCGGCACACCAATCAATTGCCGCACACCTTTGGGCTGTTATGGAGTCTCAGCTGGCAATTCCTTCGATAACAAAAACGGCTTCAAGAACAATTTAATCCAGAACAAGAGGCAACCTTTATTTTAACTAAGTTGCATTTTTATGCAGGTGTTCTTGGAACCAGATTATCCAATTCCTCCAATAGCAACAAACTGGAAAAGATAGCGTGAACTATGGTCTTTAGAATGGGCAACCCCCGGTAAATTGCTCGTTATTATTATTTTTATATTATTTTATTTAAGAGACAATATATTAGATGTTATTTTAGGAATAATAGTCGGTGCGAAAATAGCATTTTTGTTGCAGTCCTATTAGATTAAGAATATGATTGTGTAAATCCTAGTGTATCTAGGGATATCTTGAAATATTTCGTAGGGTTATATATTGTCCTATTAGAGTAAGGATTTAACTTTATTTAAGAGACAATATATTAGATGTTATTTTAGGAATAATAGTGGGTGCGAAAATAACATTTTTGTAGCAGTCATATTAGATTAGGAATGTGATTGTGTAAATCCTAGTGTATCTATGGATATCTTGAAATATTCCCTAGGGTTAGGTATTATCCTATTAGAGTTGTAATCCTATTAGAGTAAGGATTTCACCTATCTTACTACTATAAATAAAGGCACAATAGGTGATATAACACACCTCATAATTACGTCTCTCTCATCTTTCTCTTGCCGCCAGCCCTCCTCTTTAGTCCCAAGTATAGTTCAGTAAATTAGGCCTACAACATGTTATCAACACGCTCTTGCCAAAAGCCAAGGAACTGAAGGATCGTGGAGGAGGCTATTCTACACAATCAAAGGCTTAATCGTTTTCTGCCAATCAAGTTCTTTTAAAATAAATTAAGATATTTGAAACGACCTTGAAGCATGAAAACATTTTCCATGACGCATGAACCCCCTATATTCCTTTCAATTATATATATTGCATATGTGTTCATATATTTTGTCAATATATATATTTGCTCATGCAATACGCAATTATGCTACGTGGAATTTGTGAGTCAAAGCATCGAAATTAATTTAGAATCAATTAGGATTGTTAACCCTAGAATTCGAAAAAAAAAAAAAAATTGGGATTTTTCATGGTTGAGCTGCGGCTCCACGCCGCACTGCCAAGCTGACATGACTGACTTACAGCCACGCCATCACTAGGACGGTATCGTTTCGACGTCATGGACCACTTCGCAGCAACCCTGTGGGCTTGTTGCCGTTGCACAGACAACCAGGCTTTGACCTGGGTTGGGTTCTACGCAGGCCTAAAGCCTTGAGCCCATCAGTAGGCCTGTAGCCTTGCTGGGCCGTCTTTTACAGCGTGGCCTAACCTGCCAGCAAGCATTGTGCTTGCTAGGCTTTGTCCGAGCTTTGGCCCACCAGCAACAAACCTTAGCTTGTTGGGCTTCACCATCTATCACAGCCTGCGACCACCAAAGCTAGCCCAGATGGCTAGGCTTGTTTCCCACGGCCCAAAATCGAAGTCAGCACGCGGCTGGGCTTCTTGCGCATACCCCAAGCCAGCACATGTGCTGGGCCTGTGTCCCCCTGCACCATTTTGGCCCAAAACCAGCAGCTTGGGCTACTGGGTTCCTTCCTAGAACTGGCCCGTGGCCTTTAGCCACGATTGGGCTGCCTTTGCAGCCAACTTGTGGCCCATTAAACCCTTTTAGGGCCTTGCCTCGTACACGACAACCAGCCTACTAATATTGGGTTATGATTTTTCTAATCCAATGCTATTTTTTTAGCATTCCCGCCAATATTAACCCGAATGTTATTATTTTGCTTCTACGATCAAACCTGCATGGTTACGATACATTGAATTAATTAAAGTGACTAGTAGTCCATTAATCTGACAATTAATAAAAAAATTATTGGCCTGAAGCTCACTTTTTGGCAATTAACGATTCAATAAATTATTTTTTTTCTTTGAACCGTTGACTATCTTTTGTAGTCCCGACGTACTCACACTTGGGTTCCTGAAGCATTCCACAAATTCATTACACTTAGTTGTATATTGTATTCTGTGTTCTTGCAGGTACCCTTATATATGAACTAGATATTCATAACTAAATTAAACCTGTAGTTTCCAATTTAGCGCCTTTGAAACTCGAAGTTTTCATTCAAAACTTACCACATGAAACCGTAGCTTACATACTTAAATTAAACCAATACATGTCTATAGAACCAGAATGTTCTATAATGTATGTCTATGGCTTTCCATATGACTAACAACGTTTTTGTTGTACCCTCTGTTTTAGGGACATGTCGAACTTGAACAAACTTGATTTCACTGCTTTAGAAGTATCTGGTAGAAACTACCTAAAGTGGGTTCAAGACGTGAAGCTTCATCTTACTGCAAAGAGTCTTTGAGCCACCATTAAGGAACCTACTGATGACCTAATCGATGAAGCTCAGAAAGCTAATGCTATGATCTTCAACTGAAGACACATCCATGATGCACTGCAGACCAAGTACCTCGTTGAGGATGACCCTCGTTGCTCTGGTCGATTGCTTCGATCACCATAAAACATTTACTTGCCTGAAGCAAGGCACGACTGGCAGCATTTACGCTTCCAAGACTTTAAGTCTGTGAATGAATACAACTCTAAAATTTATAGAATTCGATCACTGCTTAAGTTATGTGAAGAAAACTTAACCGAATAAGATCTTCTGGAGAAGACCTATTCGACCTTCAATGCTTTGAATGAATACAACTCTAAAGTTTGTAGAATCTGATCACTGCTTAAGTTTTGTGAAAAGAACTTAACTGAAGAGGATCTTCTAGAGAAGACCTATTCGACCTTCAATGCCACCAATAGTATCTTGCAGCAACAATATAGGGCACATAAGTTCACCTAATTTTTGGATTTGATCTCTATTTTACTTCTCATGGAAAAGTAGAACCAACTTTTGATGAAGAATCATTAAGCGCTCCGCCTAAAACGCATGTGACAAATTCTAGCAGCCACAACCGACGGAAACCTTGTTGTGGCTGCGGAAATGGGCGGCAAGCCCTACCATGGACCCAAGGTCAACAAAGTAGAGGCCTGCCCAGGGAAGCAAATTTGATCCAAAAGCGCCAACCCTTTGCCCTAAGGCCCCAAACTTCAAGAACAAGGGAAAACCTACCGTTCAATCGGCTTCCACTGAACTGGACATGTGCTACCACTGTGGATCAAATGATCATTGGTCATGCATATGCTGAGCTAGCCCCAAGGTTGTTGCCAAGTATCATTCTTGTTGTGAGACTAACTTTGTGCATGTGAAACATTCCGAAGATGCTACTACAACTATGGATGTTTCCGATTTTCAAGAGGCATCTACTCCCATTGAAGAATAAAGTTTTATTTTTCTAAAGCATGTTAAGGTGTTTTACACCCCTAGTGGCTGAACCCACTAGGTGTGGCCAAACCTACCCCTCCTATTTTTTTTAGGTTTATGGTTCAATTTTGGACAATTTTTCTAATTCTTTGGAATTATTTGTTTGGTTTTGGGTTGTTTTGAATTATGGATAATATTTCTTGATTGATTAATTGAATGAATGGAATTATATTTATGCATGTGACCAATTCAACTAATTTATTTCTAGGTATGACTAGTGGGAAAGTTAGTTGTCTAGTTAATAATGCTACCACGCACACCATCTTGCGTGAACAACACTATTTGACTAACTTCATACCTAAAAATGCACATTTGACAACCCTCTCAGGCCCATCCAACCTGATAGAATGATACGGAAATGCCCTGTCTAATGCTGTCTAATGATACTGAATTA